AGATAAATACACTACACCTAAACCACAAGCAGTTACATAAAATAACTTTGACACGCCCCCATAATTGCTTGTGGGAAGAAGTGTAGTTATCGCCCCCTAAAGGGGTACACGAGGCAGAGTGCGCAGCAGAACGGGAGAGGGCAGGCAAGGAGGAGGAGAGAGAGAGGGAGAGAGAGGAGAGGAGGTGGTAGGCTCTGGTTGGTCACCCCCTCCATTCCCTCACCCTCCCCCTCCCCCCCACACTACTGCAGGAGCAGCAGAGGGGGGCGAACGGAGGAGGATGGGAAGGGGAGACCACACATCACCCATCACCCCCACACCCGCCACCCCCAGACCCTCCCCCCCGCAGCTGCAGGGAGACGAAGGAGAAGAGGGGGGGGGGGGGGGGGGGGGGGGGGGGGGAGGGAGGGGGGGGGCTGACGCACGGCCTCCCAGGGCGCCAAAGCAGGCGGCAGAGGGGGCGACGCTTGCCCCCCCTTTCCAGGTCGCCGCGGCCCCTGAAGGAGCCGCGACGGGTGACGGGAAAAAGGGGGGGGGGGGGGGCGGTGCACGTGCCCCCGGTGTGCCGCGGCTGGCGTCGGGGCATGGCCGGGGCGGGGTCGGGGCCGCAAGTGGCGGCGACGGGGCCGCTGGCGGCGGCGACGGGGCCGACGGAGGCGGCGACTGGGCCGCGGAAGGGTGGCGACGGGGCCGCTGAAAGGGTGGGCGACGGGCCGCTGGAAGGGCGGCGGTGGGGCCGCTGAAAGGGCGGGCGACGGGCCGCTGGTAGGGCGGCGACGGGGCCCGCTGAAAGGGCGGGCGACGGGGCCTGCTGAAAGGCGGGCGACGGGGCCGCTGAAAGGGCGGCGGTGGGGCCGCTGAAAGGGCGGGCGACGGGGCCTGCTGAAGGGCGGGCGACGACGGGGCCGCTGAAAGGGCGGCGATGGGGCCGCTGAAAGGGCGGCGACGGGGCCGCGGAAGGGCGGCGACGGTGTCAAAGTTATTTTATGTAACTGCTTGTGGTTTAGGTGTAGTGTATTTATCCTGTCTTCTGTTTGGTGGTGCACCTCTAGTTTCTTGACTATATGTTGTATCTCTTTGCTATTATTGAACATTCTCAACTTTCTCGACACACCCCTTCAACTCGAACTCGATCACTAAACCTTCTCCTAAGCTACTACGGCCCCTAAGCCCAACTAGTATTTTGACACACCGCACTTGATTCGCGATGACGCACCCCCTGAAAGAGTACCTCCTCTATCAGCGTGCGCTCCTTCCTCATCTTTACTTGCGCCGACAGGTACGGCGATGGGATCTCACCCTGCATCTCCGCTGTGAGGCCCGCAAACACTTCCAGCCTCTCCCGCTCGTCCTCCCGGTAAGACTCCAACTGTTCCTCCATGGTCAGCAGTTGCGCCTTGACCTTGTCGTCCGTCGGCCCACCCATGACCATGTGCCGTAACCGTTCCACCTCCTCCGTGAGATGCAGCTGCGTTGCTGTCACCCTTTTCCTTTCCTCCTTCTCGTACGCACGTAGGCCCGCTGTTAGTCTTGGTAGCAGGTTTTCCAAAGAGCCCCTACCCGCCTTGTCGAGTGACTCCGTAACTGACTCAATGAGCTTCCTTACCCCCCTCCTGCCCTTCCGTGTAGCATGGAACCTCCACAGACCTGGGCCACACGCGTGCTCCGAGGCGAACTTAAGCCTTATCTTGACCGCGAACCAGTGGTCAGTCAGCTTCTTTGGCACCTCCACATGCCGGGCCCCCACCAAGCTGCCAAGCAGCGACGTGGATACCAAGGCTCTGTCTATGCGCGTCTTCGACTACGTGGCTCTATCCTTGAATGTGTACTGCTTGTCGGTGGGATGCACGGCACGGAACACATCCTGGAGATCGTGCGGCTGCCACGCATCCAGGAAACGCTGATTCTCTCTCCCAGAGCCCACACCAAATGACTTGTCCAGATCTGGGTCGGCAACCATATTAAGATCTCCCACCACCACCAGGTGCCGTGACTGCGGTTGTGCCTGGATAAAAGGTATCAGATGCTCCCTGTGAAACTTCGCTCTATTGCATGCTTGCGCCGGGAGATATGCAGCCACCAGCCTAAAAGGCTCCTCCCCTCCTACTGTGACCCCTAAAAGCCTCCCCGTTGAGTCCGGCAGGGCATCTGAGAAGCGAATGTGCCTACCGAAAGCTACAACTGCCACCCCCCCCGCCGACTGGCTCGGACCGACTGCAGCCCAAGCTTTCGGCCTTAAATCTTTCCAGAAATTGTGATCCTCCTTAATCCTTGTGTCTGAGAGGACCATTATGTTCGTTGTTGTTCGTAACCATCTCCTGTTCTTACTCCATTTCCCGCTGCTGCCAAGGCCGTTCACATTGACCCCGCAGATGGTAAGAAATGGTGTGTTACCCATGGGTCCACTTGACAACGAGCCCCTCGCATCCACGGGCTTTATTAATAACAGTACAACATAAAGAAGCCAAAATCGACGCTACTTCTGATGTCGTCGCCACCGCTGTTGCCACTGTTAACACCTCCTCCCTTGTCTGCCTCCCCGAAACACACACAAGAACCCTCAGCATCTCTGCTCCCACAGTCGGACCGTCACATCCCATACTCCTTCTTGACCTGCGCGAGATTCAGCTTCCCCTTGCTCAGGCGAGTCGCCGCTTTCGCCTTGAGCTGCCCGGTACCATGACGAACCGACTGGACGTGCTCCACCGCCGACTCAAAACTGGAGCCGTGAGCCTTTCCGCAGTCTTCCTGGGAGCACAGCCACTCCTCTCTGACACCTCCCGTAGAGGTCAAGGCCATGGCAGGGTCCGCCTGCAGGATCTTCAACGCCGATGAGAGCTTCATGGAAGCCGCTGCTCGGGGGAAGGGATGCACAGAAGTCAGCATGGAGGCTCGCAGCTGCAGCCACCTGAAAAACAAGGTAAGAGGAGCAGTTGGAGCAATTACCATTGATCTCATGAGCGCGCAAAAGAGGGAGATTCCAGTTCCCAATATTGTTCTGCCTCTCCTTAACGTAATCATCATGGAAACATGACATGTGCATTCCGCTGCAGAAATCGCAGGTCAGCGCAGGGAATGAAACCAGCAGCTCAATCACGTGGACTCTGTCAGTGACCTTGTGCCACCACTTGTACTTATCCCCCTGATGCCTGAACACCAAGCCCTTTATCTTGTCCGTGTCCGACCCCGACACAGGATCCAGCACGCGGTGAAACGCCGAGCCATCGCGGAACGCCGTGCGGCCACGCTTCAGCAGCATCGCCGAAACCAGGTTATGCTTGATCATCGCTGGTGAGATAACAGCCGGCACCCCCTTGAGCAACACCTCGATTGCCTCCGGGTGAGCTTCACGCTCCTTCAGGTACTCCTTATTCTCCGGATGCTGCCAGCCGAGCGTCAGCTTCTTATCATTCGTCGTGTAGTGTTCGATCTCTCTGCTCCTCATGAACCCTGCGTCCGCCTCCAGCAGGAAGACGACTTCAATACGGCCGAAATGTTGCTTGGAGAGGAATGTCGCCGTAAGCTGCTGACACCTCGTGGTCGCCTTCACGTTCTCCGACATGTGCTTTCCCCAAACCGTCAGCAGGTGATTGACGGTGTTAATGATGCGCGGAATCTCCTTGCGCCAGGCGAAAGGAACTAGTAGCGTGATGGCAACTCTAGCCTGCACAGCGATCTCGTTGAGCGTCACCGGATCTTGACACTCGTCGGGATCGTCGCTAAGGTAGCCACCATCATCTTCCGCGTCCTGCTCCTTGGCCTTGCCGCGATCCTGATCAGCTGGAACAGCAACACCCGCCTTGACCTTGACGCTGACACCTGCATTTTTGTCTGTAGGCAGATCGTTAATGCGCAACGCCGACGCCTTGGCCGTCAACTCCTTAATCTCCTGCTCTCCCTGAGAGGCAGACGTGCCATTAAACAATGTTTTCAGAGTGACCGGTTCAGGACGAACGGTTGCGGGTTTCTTCCCATGGAGACCGGCGGCCGGAGCCAGAGCAGCAGGGGTGACTTCCGGCAGAGCCATGGTGTGATGATGAATAGAGACTGCGAGTAGATCCGCAAGTACAGGTCGTAAGAATGAGCTGAGCACCAGAGGCTCCAGAAATGCCTTGTGTCTCCCTCTAGACCAGACTCTGTATATGTAGTAGTGAAAAGTCTGTTGAATCGCGTCCAGGAGGTAGGTGGAACTCCTGTGATTGCCGCGCTCCTCGGGAATGTCACAGACCCTAATAACACCATTGCCAAAGAGAGCTTCGAGAGTGTCTGACAATAGGGCCGAATGGTCAATGTTCGTCTTATGAACATAAAAAGTGTACCAACAGAATCCTATAGTCTTAAGGAGTACGAATCTAGGGGGGGGGGGGGGTATGGAACTCGCTTCAGGGAAAAACTCGTTATTGAATACAGGAACCCTTAGTCATCAGTGTGCCTATATTGTAAACCTTGACACATCAGGGTAATCTTGACTCTTAGAAAAATTACCCTGGACCATCAGTGTTACTCCCAAAAACCACCCTGATTATCAGGGTATCAGGGTGATTTACACTGATAAAATTAGCCCTGGCATCAACCCTAAACACACATAACAAGGTGCTTAGGGTTGATACCTTGAATGTGGTGCAATTTGAGTGGGATCAACCCCAAACACGGGAACCAGCAATGTATTTTGGGTTGATGCATTTAAAGCGGTGCCTCATTCCTGTTGGGTTTATAAAACAAGTCAAAATATTTAGCTAAGACAAGCCTTGTTGGCGCGTCTAGAATGAAATGACGTAACAAGTTGCAAAATTTGTCTTTGATGCGAGAAAAAAAACCCCGTGCTGTAATCTCGCGATTCTCACTACAACGCCAATGTATTCACTTCCGCAGCATGAACGTAGAAGCGTTTGTAGGTCGATCCATTTGGACGATGTTCGGTTGCCCTGCCTTCCCATTATCGTGTCCTCCACATGAATGCCTTTTACTCATAAGCGGTTCCCATGCCTCTGGAGTCTGGACTACTCCACACGCGATATTCTCCTCAGAATCTTGCCAATGAAGCTCGCGCTCTCCCCGCCAAAGTTGTTGCCCAGGTCGATCTTCTGCTTGCCTCCCGCCTTGGCCTGCTGCGCATTGCGCATGTCCCTCAGCTCAGAGCGAAGCACCTGGTGGGATGAACACAAAGGGCAAGAAGGGGAGGTTTCAGTAACAGTGCAGCAGGGTGTGCCTCTGCTGCACTTGCTACGTGCCCAACTTGGCCTTGCCGGGCGTTGCATGTCCCTCAGCTTTGAGCGAAGCACCCGGTGGGAGGCACAGGACAAGGGAGGCCCAAGGGGAGGCATGAGGGGCAAGGAGGGAAGCAAAGGCAAGGGAAGGGGGAGGGTCTGCTTGATGCACCGGCTCTTGAGCTCATACTGAAGCACGTAATGGTAGCAAAAACGCACATTTGGCTGCTCCTTTGGCCAGCAGCAGCAGCACCCGCTGCTCTCTCTCGCGATTGAGCATCACCGGGAGTGCATGTGTGAGTGCGAGAGGAAGAACGAAACGGAGAGCGCAAACTCGCAAAGTCTGTTCGCAGCAAAATGCGCCCCTCGCTGCTCCGCAGAGCAGCAGCAACCAAGAAGGAGGGAGAGTGCGAGCGAATGAGAGGAAGAGGGGGATAGAAAGACAGAGAGGGGGAGACAAAACGAGATAGCGGGCTCTCACGAAGTCTGTTCGCAGCAGAATGCGCCTCTCGCTGCTACGCAGGGCAGCAGCAGCCATCACGCGCACCCTCTGCTCGCCATCATCCTCCAGGTAATCATCGCTGTTGCCCTCCAATAGGGCTTCGTCCTCCTGTAGAAGGGGAGAGGGGTGGTGAGGGGTGGTGAGGGGTGAGAGGAAGAGGGAGTGAGGGAACAGCAGCAGCCATCACGCGCTGTTGTCCTTCTGCATGCAATGAGTGGAAGATGGGCCGTGGGGGGTCACAAGGCAGGGGTGTTGGGGAACGATTCACTCTCTCCTCGCCATCGTCCTCCATGTGCGACGCCGTTGCACCAGCCATCATGGTTCAAGGAGAAGGAGTTGACGGGCAGTACCATACCGTACGCACAACCATACTGGGTACAATCATGCTGGTGACGCGATTCACCACCTCTGCAGCCATCATGCTGGTGACCCCATCAGAGGTCGGTGGGTCACCACCTCTGCAGCCATCATGCTGATCAGTACCCACCGACACCGTTGCACCAGCCACTATGGTTTAGGGAGAAGGGGGTGACGGGCAGTACTATACCCTACGCACAACCATACTGGGTACAATCATACTCGGTGACTTTTGAGTTGACTCAAAAGTCACATCAGTACCCACCGATACCGTTGCACCAGCCATCATGGTTTAAGGAGCCAGGCGGCAGGCAGCGAGGATGACCTCCCTGGCCTCCAGCTCGTGCTCGAGCGAGAAGGAGGGGGTGAAGGGAAAACTACACCTTAACTGACCCACATGCATACTCGTTACAATGACGCTCGTCGTAAGGAAATCACGACAGCTGACCTGCAGGGTGGTGGAGTATCCTGCAAGAGCCAGGCGGCAGGCAGCGAGGATGATCTCCCTGGCCTCCAGCTCATGCTCGAGGGTGACGGAGGGGGTGAAGGGCTGCACCACATCTTAAACCACCTCCACACTCGTTATTCTTAGACTCGTTACAAGCAGATTCAAATGGCTGACCTGGAGAGTGGTGGAGTAGCCAGCCAGGGCCAGGCGGCAGGCAGCAAGAATGACCTCCCTGGCCTCCAGCTCGTGGTCGAGCGTGAAGGAGGCGGTGAAGGGCAGCGATGGCATCTCTCGCTTAGCAGGTGCCGAGGGGGAGGAGGGCGAACCGGCGAATGACGTCGCTGCTGCTAGCTGGAGGACGGGGAGGGAAAGGGGGAGGAAGAGGGAAGGGGGAATGGGGAATGGGAAAATAGGGGAGGTGTGAAGGCTGGATGTATGTCAACAAAGGAAGAGGCCTGCGTGCATTGAAAATGGTGTGTAAGGGAAGGAAAGAGGGAGACAGCACAGCATTGGCGCAATGGCAGTGGTGAGCAGTCAGTGAGGCAGGGGACGGGGGGTAGTAGGGGGGTGGGCGGATGAGGTGGCACATTGTCCAGAATGCTGGTAAAGAGAGGATGTGTGTGGTTTAGACGGTGCAACTCATCTGTAGTCAATGAGAGTCAAAAAATTCAAGAGAGTGAATGAGAGTGAGAGAAGCTCACCTCCCTGATCTGCTTCTCAGACACGGACGGCCCTGCTGCCACGAGGCGAGCAAAGGCGAGCAGCTGAGAGTCAACGAGAGTCAATTCGAGTGCAGGGAGCTCACCTCCCTGATCTGCTCCTCGGGCACGGACGGCCCTGCTGCCACGAGGCGAGCAAAGGCGAGCAGCTGAGAGTCAACGAGAGTCAATTCGAGTGCAGGGAGCTCACCTCCCTGATCTGCTCCTCGGGCACGGACGGCCCTGCTGCCACGAGGCGAGCAAAGGCGAGCAGCTGAGAGTCAACGAGAGTCAATTCGAGTGCAGGGAGCTCACCTCCCTGATCTGCTCCTCGGGCACGGACGGCCCTGCTGCCACGAGGCGAGCAAAGGCGAGCAGCTGAGAGTCAACGAGAGTCAATTCGAGTGCAGGGAGCTCACCTCCCTGATCTGCTCCTCGGGCACGGACGGCCCTGCTGCCACGAGGCGAGCAAAGGCGAGCAGCTGAGAGTCAACGAGAGTCAATTCGAGTGCAGGGAGCTCACCTCCCTGATCTGCTCCTCGGGCACGGACGGCCCTGCTGCCACGAGGCACAAGCAGCTGAGAAGCTGAGAAGGCGTGCACAAGTTAATGAGATTCACTGAGAGTCAATGGCGGGCAAGCAAGTCAGTCAAGCTCACCTCTCTGATCTGCTCCTCGGGCACGGACGGCCCTGCTGCCACGAGGCGAGCAAAGGCGAGCAGCTGGGAGGGCCAGCCGTCCATGCGGACAGGGAAGGAGAGTGGGCTGTCATGCAAGGGGTAGGGACGGGGAGGGAGTAAACAGACGAAAGGTGAGGGGGAAGGGAGGGGACATGCAGCAAAGGCGAGCAGATGAAACGGCCAGCTGTCCATGCGAACCGGGAAGGAGAGTAGGCTGGCACGCAGAGGGAGGGGGGATGGGTAGGAGGTTGGGGTGGGGAGGGGGAAAACAGACGAAATCTGAGGGGAAACGAAACAAAGCTGAGCAGCTGAGAGGGCCAGCCATTCATCGGAAAGGAGAGAGGGCTGGCAGGCAGGGGTGGGGGGGGAGAGAGTGGGAAAGTGGTAGGGAAGGAGCAGGAAGGGAGGGGACATATGGGTATTGCTCCCCTGGAGTGCTAGAGTTCCTCCGCCTGTGTGCAAACCTCGCTGCTAAGTGCCTCCACAACGCCGAGCCTTCCTCAAGAGAGGCTGCGAAAATCTACCACTCTTACCGGCAGCGTTGGTCCATCACGCTCCAACGCGCGCAAGCATCCGCGCTAGCTGCCATGCCAAGGCCCTGACGGCGTTTACGGCTGGGACAGCCCCCACGGCCTTCGCGGGGGAGCCCCTAAGCACAGGAGACCTCATGCACGTGCTCGAGCCCGAGCTCGAGCTGCCTTAGTTTTACCCTGCCTTGTCTGTATGGCTGTACTATGAATGTGCTGTAACTATGTTGCTTATTTAATGAAGGACCATTCGAAGGGAGGGGAGGGGATAGGGAGCAAAAACAAGGGCGGAAATGGTCCGAAGTTGGGGGCGGGCATAGGCGATATGGAGAAGTGCATATGGGATAGCGAGGGGTGCTGAGGGAATAAGGAGGGTGGCACATGCAGCAAAGTTGATAGGGTGAGACGTCCAAGGATCATCATCAGCACGTGTGCATCGGTACCACTATGTTAAACAACAGAGCTCGTAAAATTCACACCAGGTTTCCAGAACCTGGAATGTAAATATTCAATAAGACTTTGAAAAGAGAAGAACCTTCACCAAATCAGCCGGTTGGTTCGAACAGCTGCTTTCTTGATGGGCAGCAGGGGGTTGTCAGGGAAGAACGCGAGCAGCAGACGTGTAAGACTAACGACAAATGCACAAGAGCCCTCATGGGAGAGCCTGTTGGCTCGCAGCGCTGCTTCCTTGACGGGCAAGAGTGGGTCGTCAGGGAAGAGCGGGAGAGTGCACAACGTGCCAAGCCCCTCCTGTCTGTGACAATGGAAAGAGAAAGACCCTCACCAGGTCAGCCCGTTGGCTCACAGCCCTGCCTCCTTCACGGGCAGCAGGGGGTCGTCTGGAGAGAGCGCGAGCAGCAGGTGCGGTGGAAGGCTACAAGGCTCACGTGAGGAGCAGAGAAGGGTTCGTACCAGGTCAGCCCGTTGGCTCGCAGAGCCGCCTCCTTGACGGGCAGCAGCGGGCCGTCTGGGGAGAGTGCGAGAAGCAGGTGTGGTTGACTTGGTAAGCAGATGAGCAGAGAAGGGTTCGTACCAGGTCAGCCCGTTGGCCTGCAGTGCTGCCTCCTTAACAGGCAGGAGCGGGTCATCTGGGGAGAGCGCGAGCAGCAGCGAGACGGAGTCACTGGGGTTGCGCGTGGCGGGCACGACTCCATAGGCCAGCAGGAGCTCTCCATTGGACTTGGGGCCATACGAGACAAACACCTAAGGCGGGTGGGGGCAGACGGGTGGGGAGTGGGTGAGAGGAGAACGAGCAGCAGCAGCAGCGGGACGGAGTCGCTGGGGTTGCGCGTGGCAGGCACGACACCGTAGGCCAGCAGGAGCTCTCCGTTGGACTTGGGGCCGTAGGAGACAAACACCTGCGAGGCAGCGAGGGTATAGAGTGGTGTGGCAGTCATAGGGGCAGACGGAGTGACTCGCTGGGGTTGCAAGTAGCAGGTATCACCCCATAGGCCAGGAGCAGCTCTTCATTGGACTTGGGACCATTCGAGACAAACACCTGGGGGGGTACGGAGAAAGGAATCACTCGCTGGGGTTGCGCGTGGCGGGCACCATTCCGTAGGCCAGCAGGAGCTCTCCGTTGGACTTGGGGCCGTGGGAGAAAAACACCTGCGAGGCAGCGAGGGTATGGTGTGGTGTGGCAGTCAGAGTGGCAGACGGAGTGACTCGCTGGGGTTGCTCGTGGCGAGCCCCACCCCGTAAGCACGGAGCAACTCTCAGTTGGATGGACTTGGGACCGCACAAAACAAACACCTGCAAGGGTATGGTATGGTGTGGTGTGTTAACAGAGGAAGAGACAGCGGCGTGACTCGCTGGGGTTGCTCGTGGCGAGCCCCACCCCGTAAGCAACTCTCTGCTGGACGCATTTCACTTTGGAGAATTCTCAAGAGTAAAATCCACCCTGTAAGCAACTCTTTGCTGGACGGAGTTAGGACCGCACGAAACAATAGTCGTGAGGTGGGCGGACATGTTGGGAGGGAAAGGGGCAAGCGAATGGGGAAGGCTTGACCTCACCTCGAACCAAGCACGCCTCACCTCGAACCAAGCACGCCTCACCTCGAACCAAGCACGCCTCACCTCGAACCAAGCACGCCTCACCTCGAACCAAGCACGCCTCACCTCGAACCAAGCACGCCTCACCTCGAACCAAGCACGCCTCACCTCGAACCAAGCACGCCTCACCTCGAACCAAGCACGCCTCACCTCGAACCAAGCACGCCTCACCTCGAACCAAGCACGCCTCACCTCCTTGCCCTCACCTCCTGATCTAAATAGCGCCTCACTTCCTCGCCCTCGATTTAAGAGCGCCTCACCTCCTTGCCCTTCGCAAACGCACGGTCGGTGGTAAAAACAACGCTGCCCTTCCACTTGTCCTCGCCCTCAAATCACGAGCGCCTCACTTCCTTGCCCTTGGCAAAGGCACGATCGGTGGTAAAAAAGACGCTAACCTTCCACGTGCCCCACCTCACCCCCTCAACCAAACAGCACGCCCCGCCTCCTTGCCCTCATTTGAATAACGCCTCACCCTTGCTCTTAGCAAACGCACGGTCGGTGGTGAAAACAACGCTGCCCTTCCACGTGTGCATGCCCTCTTGACTTGACTAGCTATACCTCCTCACCTTCTTGCCTCACCTCATCCTCTCAATCAAGCAGCACGCTTCACCTCCTTGCCCTCACCTCCTTGCCCTTGGCAAACGCACGGTCAGTGGTGAAAACGACACTGCCCTTCCACGTGTCCACATCAATGCATGACTCGATCTGCGGTTGAGGGGGGAGAGGTGAGAAAGGGTGGAGTTAGACAACTAAGACAGGCACATATCTCCCCTGGCCTTGTCAACACTGCCCCTTCCACGTGTCCACATCAATGCACGACTCGATCTGCGGTTGAGGGGGGAGAGGTGAGAAAGGGTGGAGTTAGACAACTAAGACAGGCACATATCTCCCCTGGCCTTGTCAACACTGCCCCTTCCACGTGTCCACATCAATGCACGACTCGATCTGCGGTTGAGGGGGGAGAGGTGAGAAAGGGTGGAGTTAGACAACTAAGACAGGCACATATCTCCCCTGGCCTTGTCAGCACTGCCCCTTCCACGTGTCCACATCAATGCACGACTCGATCCGCGGTTGAGGGGGGAGAGGTGAGAAAGGGTGGAGTTAGACAACTAAGACAGGCACATATCTCCCCTGGCCTTGTCAACACTGCCCCTTCCACGTGTCCACATCAATGCACGACTCGATCTGCAGTTGAGGGGGGAGAGGTGAGAAAGGGTGGAGTTAGACAACTAAGACAGGCACATATCTCCCCTGGCCTTGTCAACACTGCCCCTTCCACGTGTCCACATCAATGCACGACTCGATCTGCGGTTGAGGGGGGAGAGGTGAGAAAGGGTGGAGTTAGACAACTAAGACAGGCACATATCTCCCCTGGCCTTGTCAACACTGCCCCTTCCACGTGTCCACATCAATGCATGACTCGATCTGCGGAGGGGGGGAGAAAGTGATGGAGGGAGAGAGGGTGTGAGTAGAGAGCAGGAGATGAATTCCAAGTTATGGGGGTACATAAGGCCCCTGGCCTTGTCAGCACTGCCCTTGGAGGGGCCTTACGTACCCACATAACCTGGAATTCATCTGACCTTGTGGGTACATAAGGCCCCTGGCCTTGTCAGCACTGCCCTTCCAAGTATCCACGTCCCACTCCCTCCCTCCTCGCCCCACCTCCCCACTCCTCGCATGACTCAATCTGTGACAGGCTGAAGCACGCCCCACCTCCGCCCTCCTCGCTTCACATCTGTAGTTGAGCATATCCCCCCATGGCACCAGCGCCAGGCGGTTGTTACAAGCAGCTGTAGCATCCCCACCACCCACCACCCCACCCAACCCTCCCCCCACCCACTCCACCGCTCACCTCGCATCTGTGGTTGAGCATATCCCCCCACGGCACCAGCGCCAGGCGGTTGTTGCGCGATGGCAGGCGGACCTGAGAGGGCGGGCATGGGGAGGAGAGGGGAGAGGGGGGGAGAGGTGGGGAGAGGGGAGGGGGGGTGGTTCAGCATGTCTCCCCACGGCACCAGGGCCAAGCGGTTGTTGCGAGATGGCAGGCGGACCTGACAAGAGGGGAGAGGGGGTGGGGGTGGGGGGGGGCAGGGTGGGGTGGGGTGGGAGTGGCGGGAACGGGAGAAGGGGGGAAGGGGGAGAGAGTGAGGGGTGGGGGAGAGAAGGGAGGGAGAGTGAGTGAGGGAGGGGGGTGAGTGAGGGATTGGGGATGAGTGAAGGAAGGGGTTTGAGTGAGGGAATGGGGATAAGTGAGGGATTGGGGATAAGTGAGGGAAGAAGTTTGAGTGAGGGGGGGGGGGGGGTGTGGGAGGGATCTGAGATGAGTGAGGGGATTGGGGGTGAGTAGAGAAAGGGGATAAGTGAGGAAGGGGGGTGAGTGAGGAAGGGGGGCTGAGTGAGTGGGGGGCGGGGGGCTGAGAGGAAGAGGTGGATAGACATATGGCCAACGGAAAGAAAGAGTGGGACGAACTCGGGAGTAAACCACCCTTAGAAGTGGAGGGATTGCAGGGAAAATAGGAAAAGAGGAGAGGTATAGAAGGGGTAGATGGAGATGTTGCTATGAGGAAAGAAGACAGGAACGGATGAATGGAAAGGACGACAGAAAAGGAGAGGCGAACGGATGCAGGTGCAGGGAGGTGCATTGTGGTGCAGGGAGGTGCATCTGACCAGGCGGGAGAAGAGCACAGCAAAGGCCCACTTGAAGTTGTTGAGCGTGAATAGCTGGAGGAGGGGAGGGAGATGAGGAGAGAAGTGTGATTGGATGAGCGTGAAGGGCTGGAGGAAGGGGGATGAGGGAGGAGTGTGAGTTGGATGAGTGAAAAGAGCTGAAGGGGGGTGGACGAGGAAAGGGTTTGGATAAACGTGAAGAGATGTGTGGGGGGGTGACGACAAAGAACAGTGTGACACAAGATGATGAGGTCGCTGCACTTCCACTTTCAGCACTGCCTAATCATCTTGTGCACGGATAACGGAGTTTTTTTTAGGCGCCTCAAACATCAACTTGTGCACGGATAACGGAGTTTTTTTTAGGCGCCTCAAACATCATCTTGTGCACGGATAAGGGAGTGCTTAAAGTGGACGACGAGTGAATGTGCAAATGTCTTAGTCGACTCAAAAATAGAAAAGCGTGACACAAGATGATGAGGTCATTGCACGGATAAGGGAGTGCTGAAAGTGGAAGAGGAGTGAATGTGCGAATAAGGAGCATTGCACGAGGAATGGGAGGTGGGGCGGGGGAGTGGGAAGGTGGGGGCAAGAAGTGGGAGGGGGGGGACGAGGAGTGGGATGGGGGGGACGAGGAGTGGGAAGGGGGGGACGAGGAGTGGGATGGGGGGGACGAGGAGTGGGAAGGGGGGGACGAGGAGTGGGAAGGGGGGGACAAGGAGTGGGATGGGGGGGACGAGGAGTGGGAAGGGGGGGACGAGGAGTGGGAGGCAGAGGGCAGATAAAGGAAAGCGGAAACATAAACAGCTGGCACTTCCCTGCCCTTCTCACCACTCCCCCGCACCCCGCGCACCCCCATCCACCGCCGCACACCACCTAGTCCCTCCCCTCACCTCTCCCACCACAATATCCCCTCCGCCACCTTCTCTGGAAACACGTCTCTGTGCTTCGAGGAAAGCGCGGCTTCAAGCTCTGAAATTCTTCCATTCCCCCGCACCCAACCGCCACCCCCCGTCTCCCCCCTCGCCTCGCACCCCCACCACCACCATCCACTGTCTCACTGGCCCTAGATTCCGCACCTTCTCTGGAAAGACGTCTCTGTGCTTCGAGAAAAGCGCAGCCTCAAGCTCTGAGAACCTGCAGCACAGAGAGCGGTGGAGAGAGGTGGCAGACGAGAGGGGTGGGTGCGGGAGGGAAGAGGAGAAGGAGAGCAACTTTTGAGTCGACTCAAAAGTCAACTCGTGCAGCACAGAGAGCGGTGGAGAGAGGTGGCAGACGAGAGGGGTGGGTGCGGGAGGGAAGAGGAGAAGGAGAGCAAAGATAGAGGAAAGAAAGCTTGTCGAGAAATTAATACCAAAAAGTGCCAAGAAATTACTCCAGTTTCGGTTAATTACTCTCTGATTCTCCAGTTTCTCCTCTCTGTCCCTCCTTTAGGGAACAACCTTTTCATAAAAAGGGTTACTTAGCCCATTCGTTTACCAATTTTAATGAATACGGGCCATCCAAAGGAACCATCACACAACTCTCGCACTGCCAGCCCACTACGTTTCATTTGCATCATCACCACCAATGCGATTGAAGGTGCCTCATATTTGGGTGATCACAAAAGCAAGCACCTCATTCCACCTTGCAGAACCCTGTGTTATCCCTGCCTCGTACGTGTTGGTGACATCAGCAATTGCCCTCTTACGTGTTTGTGACGTCAGCAATGGCTTCAATCGCGCGCTGCCTGACAGGAGACCCCTTTAGAAGCACATCCACCTCGTCAATAGACCTGAGAGGCGGGAAGTCAGAGAGATAGAGAGGTGAGAAACACAGGATACGTGGTTGATAGCAAAAAAGGCGAAGGGCCGCCCTACTGCCTCACTGCACTGCCCCTCTGCCCCTCTGCCCATCTCTCCTTCTTGCCCTCTGTTCCCTGCCCCATCATCTTCCCCCCGTTCCCCATCCTCCTACCCCATCATATTCCCCGCGTTCCTCAACTTCCCAGATTTTATCGCCCTGGAGGATGCAAGGCGGAGCAAGAGGCAGGGTCTCAACGAACCCCCCACGCCACTCACACGCCACCCTCTGCCACTCCCTGTTTCCTCACCCTCCTCGTCCTCCTTATTCGACCCCGCCAGCTCACCACTGCAGGATGCAGGGCGGGGCGCGAGGCAGCGTCTCGATGTACCCACTCCACTCAGACGCCGCCCCTCTGCCGGCCTCGCTCAGCAAGTAGACAGCCAATGCCGGCCAATCCGGCACGTTGGCCGCCTTAAGCAGTGCGCCCACGCGGGGACAGCTGTACACCTGCGAATGGGGCGGGGAAATGGGGACGCGGGGTGGGGGAGGGAGAGGGAGGCAGGGGGGGAATGGGGTGGGGGGAGGGGGGAGAGGGAGGAGGGAGGAGGACGACGGGAGGGGAGTGAGTTGGGGGCAAGGAAGAACAAAGGGTGGTGGGCGGGGGAGGCAAGGGAAGAAGGGCGCTAGACAGGTGTTGGAAATCTATCTGAACTGACACAGTGGATTCCCCGATGTGGATGAAAACAAACCAATCAATCACTCATAAGGAATCACCAAATTCACCAAATTCAGGGAATTTGGTGCTCCCTTGGTTGTTGTGCTCACCAAATTCAGGGAATCACCACTCCCCAGGGTGGCTATAACTTATAAGCACCCGACTGTCTCTCTCCCGTTACATGTTACCACCACCCTGCCATTTCGTCCCAGTTACTCAGCGCACCATTTTCCCGATCCGTTATAAGGATTACTCAACGCACCGTTTCTCCCGTTAGAGGCAGCTTCTCGGGAATGTTCAAGATACCCTTCCCTTTCCCGATATTTTCAATCGCCACGAGCCCACGCCCACCCTCTCGCACGAGCCGCAGCGCCATCTACGCCAGTCCCTTCAACCGCAACCACGACTCTCACCAAACACCTCCTTATAATCACCCACCCTCTGCATAGGCTCACCGTATCTCCTGTTGTAAGAGCTAAACTCACTGTTTCTCTCGCTATAAGCACCACCCAACGCACCGTTTCTCCCGTTATAAGCAGCTTCTCGGGAATGTTCAGGATGCCCTCCCCCTTGCCGATGTTTTCCGTCGCCACCAGCCCGCGGCCTCCTTCGCGCACGAGCCGCAGCGCCAACTTCTGCTGCGGAAGCCCCTTCGCGCGCAGCCATTGCTCTAGCGAGTCGAGATCGCGCGCGGACCGCCCGTCCCATCCCCACGTCGCCACCGCCTTCTCCTCGCGCTTTAATTTCCTCGGCGGCGCGCGCCGCTTCTTCTTAGGCGCTTCGTCTACTATTGGCTCTGATTCGGTCCCTGCCGCTGTCGATTCTGCGGCGGCTGTTGCGGCTGCCGCCGCAGCATCCGCCGGGGCCTCCGTGACGGCAGTGGTGGTGGTGGTGGTGGTGGTGGTGGTGGTGGTGGAGGCTGATGCCGCTGACGTGGTTCCGGCAGCTGCTGACGTGGTTTCGTCAGCGGAAGCAGCGCGGACTGTGAAGCGCCCGCGGCGGGAAGAGGCAGGGAAGGCAGAGCGGAAGGGGGCGGCGGCAATTGCGCGGAGAGAGGAATCCGCGGGAATAACGCGGAGTTGTTGGGCGGGAGAAGGGCTCGTTGAAAGCGGTGCAGGCAACGAGCCGGCCGCAATGCGGACGGCGGCGGGCGTTTGCGCTAGGAGGGAAATTGAGGCGGCCATTGGACCGCGATCGTTCAGTGAGCGACACGTACACAGACGATTTGTTGTGGTAATGACTGCTGCCGAACGTAGACCGGATCGAGCGACCGTCGTTTCACAAAATCATACAGAACTAGAGCTTGCAAAGCGAAGCGAAGGAGCCGCGAATTCGTCGGACGAACCCAAGGAGCTTGGTTTGGATTCTGCTGTGTGTTAGCAAAACGCTTGTGTGCAGCGAGGATGACTGCCTCAAGACACTCGCAGATTCTGCGTTTACCCAAGCAGGTGTTCCTCGTTCGGTTTGTTCTGGTTTTCCACGTTTAAGTGCGGCAAAGCAGGGAACCGGTTCCTTTACGTCTTTCATCGTATTGGAACGTACTCAAATGCATCATAGTGGAACAATCAGAGCCAAGCTCAGTCGTTCATCTCGACAACCCAATTCCAGTGGCAGGAACCTCCAGCTGTGACTAACTGTCCACGTGGAAGCGTACTAATGGCTTCCTTGATTGCCACTCCCGTGGCGCGAGAGTATTCCAAGGGCTGTGGAATGAGGAGCCCCGCACAAACAAAACTGATATTAAGTATGGTAAGATGTTATCTTATTTCGGTAAGAAACACTAATTATGGTAACACTAACACTAATTGATAATACCTCAATCTTATTATCTTACCAGTAGATGTTTGACGAATCAGAATTGTCTAGATATCGGCATGGCGGTGCAGAATTTCACAGCATGTTAAGAATTCAATGGAAACTGGATTTCCACATACGGTATGTGTAAAGCATTCCAAACGCGTTATTAGGTGAAACCATATACCGTAAGATTGATGGATGAAATGCCCGCCTTGAGGCAGACGGCCGCATCCCTGTTAGTGCCATCCTGATTCCTGTGCATCAGCCAGTTCAGAATACTGTCACCAGCCATTTTTTATCGACCATGCCTTTTTTTCCACTGCTCGGATCTTGAAACAGTAACTTCATACAAAGTCGGATAAATCATACAACTTGACGCCCAACAATGTTAGGCAATCATCTGTACGTCTTTTGAGATGTCCCAATGATCATGCTAGAATCACGAGGCCCAGGTAGACGGCTGCAGCAGCTAGAAACAACGATATGACGCCCCTGCAGGACAGGTGCACGAAACGGGAACGAGAAGAAATAACGCAAGTCATTACGAAAGGAGTTGAAATGCACATAGCCTTACGACTCTCTCCAGTCTCTCCTTGTGGAGTAATATTTCCATCATATCACACCCACACTGCACTTGTGCTCAACCCTCACATGCCCCTCACAATCTCATCTCACCCCCCGTATACCCTCACAAACCCACTCCTAAAAAAGCGCCCATGGTAGGCCAGAGGTGCCACAGACGCCAGCACTCACACCTACCATGGCACAAGGTTCCTACAAAATAACCTGGCGCTCACCAGATGACCCCCCAGCACACTCCGTTGAAGGGGCAGGGGCATGTCTTGGCAAACACCTCAGCATCGCTGGAGTTTACCCGGCGTGAGATGAGATCATCGTAGATGTCTGATGCATTGCGGAGATGGGGGAAAGGTGTTGGAGGGTGGAGGAGCAGGGACAGTGAAAAGGGGCAAGGGAAGCCAGGGGCGTGATCTGGCAAACACCTGGGCATCGCTGGAGTTGGCTCGCTGGGATATGAGATCGTCGTATATGTCCGATGCATGGGGGGGGTGAGAGGGAGGGTGGTGGGGAGGTGGGGGGGCGAAGGGGTATGGATAGGTCACAGGCAGCCGGGGGCAGGGGAATGGACACCTGGGCATCGCTGGAGTCGACTCTCCGAGAGATGAGATCGTAGTAGATGTCTGATGGGAGAGGTGGGGGAGGTGGGGGAGATGGGGGAGATGGGGGAGATGGGGGAGATGGGGAGGATTGGGGGGGTCAAGGGGGTTCGAAGGGGCAGGGGAATGGACACTTCATTCCCATCGCTGGAGTTGACTCTCCGAGAGATGAGATTGTTGTAGATGCCTGATGAATGGTGGGGACAAGGGCGGGGGAGAGATGGGGGAATGTACAGCTCGGCATCGCTGGAGTTGACTCTCCGAGAGATGAGATCGGGAAGGGGCAGGAGAATGGACTCCTTGGCGTCCGGCACAAGGGAATTAAACAAGAACTAGAATGCTGTAATCAGGAGACTCCTTGGAGCAATTACGAAGGGGCTGGAGTTGACTCGCCGTGAGATGAGATCATCGTAGATGTCTGATGCATGGGGTGGCAAAAGGGGATGAGGTGGAGCAGTTAGGGGAGATGTGAGGAGAAAGGGGAAGAACGAGCGGGGGAGGTAGGAGGTCGGGTAAGAGGAGGTTCGATGACCATAGGCAGACACGGAAAGGGACAGTTTGTTTGTTAAAGAATTTTAAAGAAACGATGTCCAGACGTTTTGACTGCATGGACGCACCATCAATTGAAAAGAGGCAGTTCATGATGCCTCGGAGGTTTCTTTTTATTCTGAGAAATCACTGAAGAATAGAGAAATTATGTGCAGACGTGTGGGCTGGACAGCAGTGACGTACCATAAATAGAAAAGAGGCAGTTCATAATGCCTGCGCAGCAAAGAAACGGACAAAGGAGTTTTGCACAAGAGGAGTTTTGTGAGTAAAGATAATTCCTAGTAACAAACAAACAAGATGAAAATATTGAGAGAATGACAAATTGCACGTGGGATTCTGGAGAAAGAAGGGCAGAGAGGAAAAGCAGGGAGCAGTTTGCTTTGTATAGAGAAAGGGCGTACCGATAAATAGGATGGCGAGGTTCAGCGGGTGCACCGATTGGGTAATGCCATATTCGAGGAAGAAAAAGAGGCCAAAGAGGAGCAGGAAGCCCACACACAGGAACCGTAGCGTGTTCTGTGGGACAAGTGGGGGAGAGAGAGGGATGCACGGCAGACAGACTGGGTGATGCCGTATTCGAGGAGGAAGAAGAGGCCAAAGAGGAGCAGGAATCCCACACACAGGAACCGTAGCGTGTTCTGTGGGACAAGTGGAGCAGAGAGAGAGAGGGCGCTCGGTGTGAGTCGACTCAAAAGTCACACCTTGCGAGGAAATGGGGGACATTTTGCGTTCTGTGCTCCTCTGGTTGAAGGCAGCAGGGGGAGCGATGCTGCTTGCACAGCACGCTTGCATCCTTGGCCAGTTAAAGGGAGAGTGATGCAGTGCGGTAGCCCCAGATAAGGAGGGTAAGGAAGAGATTCTCTGGAACGTGAGCTGCAGCTCCCGCTTTCTCAGAAGTACGTAAGTAGCACCAATGGAGGGTGAGGAAGAGCTTGCGCGACCTACACACACGTAAGTAAGAAGCAGACCATTGGTGCTACTTACGTACTTCTGAGAAAGCGGGTGGCGAAGAGAGTGATGCACGGCACGGCAGGCATGGCCTTGAAAGTGCAGAACAGTTACGTCAGTGCGGTATGGGGCTGAAAGCTGCATGCTACTCTCATGTTCCGGCGAGGAAGACGGTGACGAAGAGAGTGCTGCAGAGCAGATGCGAGGTGACACCCATCCAGCGAAGTGCAAACCAGTTTTGCAACTCACGTTCTTGGCGAGGAACTTAGATGGAATTGACGCTAGGAAGGCTCGCGTTCTTGGCGAGGAGAGGGTGATGAAGAGGGTGATGAAGAGGGTGACAGCGATGGCGAGGGTGACGGGGAGCAAACAAGACCTTCAAATAAGTGCACACACACACGGTTCTCTACTCATGTTCTTGCTCGTTTCAGTGCTCACGTTCTTGGCAAGGAAGAGGGTGATGAAGAGGGTGATGCAGAGGATGACAGCGATGGCGAGAGTGGTGGAGACCCTCAAATACGTGCACACACACACACACATACACACACATACACACACACACACACACACACACACACACACACACACACACACACACACACACACACACACACACAAGTTTCACTGCTCACATTCTTGGCGAGGAAGAGCGTGATGAAGAGAGTGATGCAGAGAATGACAGCGATGACGAGCGTGGTCCACTTGTTGGTCGCGCACAGCACGAGCACCATGCCCCAGAAGGATGAGCCTAGGTCTGATTGGTTGGTGTGGGTTGAAGCAGGCATGGGGGTGCGCGCATATGGAATACTATGAGACAATGTGCATTGATTGGCGCACAGCACCAGCACCATGCCCCAGAAGGATGAGCCCAGGTCTGGTTGGGGTGGGTGGAGTGAAGTGAAGGCACCGCAAGCAATGCAGACACATGCATGTGAGAGGCAGAGCGTGGTCCACTTGTTGGTCGCGCACAGCACGAGCACCATGCCCCAGAAGGACGACCCCAGGTCTGGTAGAGTGCAGGGTGGGGAGAGGAGGTGATGCATGCATGTGTGTGTGCACTGAGTGGCTCACACCAGCACCATGCCCCAGAAGGACGACCCCAGGTCTGTTTTAGTGTGGGGAGAAGTGAAGCATGCATGCATGTGTGAGACAACGTGCACGGAGTGGCGCACAGCGCCAGCACCATGCCCCAGAAAGACGACCCCAGGTCTGCTTAGGGTTTGCGGTTCAGGTTTCAGGTTTAGGCAAGTGTGCAGAAGCATGGATGGAGCGGCGCACAGCAGCAGCAGCAGCAGCATACCCTAGAAGGACGACCCAGGTCTGGTTAGTGTGGTTGGGATGATGCAGATGCATGCTGTGAGAGTGATGTGAGACACATGCTGTATGGCATGCTGAGAGACACATGGGTAACGGGTAAGAAATGTTTGATGGGCAACGGTAGCTTGCTTGATTGAGTTGAGATGCGCACAGAGAAGGTTTGATTTTGGGAAGCTTGGGTTTTGGGAGCCAGCACCCTGCTGAGTAGTGACTCGTGACTCTCGTGACCCGTGACCCGTGACTTGTGACTCGTGACTCATGATTCCTGACTCACACCCGGCAGGCAGAATGCACAACTGCCATCCACCCTGGTGCGAGTGACCCGTGACTGGTGATTGGTGACTCACACCCGGCAGGCAGAATGCACAACTGCCATCCGCCCCGGGTGCGAGTGACCCGTGATCCGTGACTTGTGACTCGTGACTCACATCCGGCAGGCAGAATGCACCACTGCCATCCACCCCGGGTGCGAGTGACTCCCCCCTCATCCATGTGCACCTCGATGCCCTCCACCTGCAGCATAGGGCGTTCGCACATATGTATGACATGACACAGCACGCATGCATGCATTCAGCAAGGTAAAGTGTGATTCGTTATGCATTGTAAGACGATCGCCCCTGTAATGCTCGTCCCTGTGAACCTCTACGCCCTCCACCTGCACCATGGGGTTTAGCGTTCGCACACATCATGGTGATGTGCGAATTGGTAAGCCTTATAAAGTATTTTCCTCTAAATCCTCGTCCATGTGCACCTCGATGTCCTCCACCTGACATAGGGCGTTCGCACATACAGCATGATATAGTGTGATTCGTTATGCATTATAACGAATCTACCTCTGAAGGCCTCGTTCATGTGCACCTCGATGCCCTGCAGCATAGGGTGTATTCGCACACATTATTGTACAGCATGTTACTTAGCACGTTGATGCACTCCACCTGGCTGACTTTTGAGTCGACTCAAAAGTCAGCATTGCACAGCATGATCCTTAGCACGTTGATGCACTTCATTTGTGAGATGATTTGTTATGCCCTCCATCTGTAACACATAATTTGAAATGCTCTGTGACTGGTAAGGCACTGCCTCTTGATACATACGTGCACACTGACCAGATGGCATACTACAGCATACCACAGCATCTCTATCCCATCTTCACAGCCCACTCAAAGGCAAATTGAAACCCGACACGGTCACCCAGCTCACCTCGGAAATATTCACTCGGCTCACAGTACTGCTCTCTGGACTTCTGAAACACGCACGCACCTTCCCTCCCGTGAGACGCACGTTCCTCCTTGCATGAACGCACCTTGCCGCCCGTCACAACGCATGTGGAGGCATAGCCTATCTCATGCGTTTGCACTCAGCACACAGTACTGCTCTCTGGACTTGAAACACACACGCACCTTCCCGCCCCTCATCACGCACCTTCCCGCCCCACATCACGCACCTTGCCTCCCGTCATGACGCATGCGGAGGCATGGCCTATCTCATGCAGGTACACGGAGATGAGCTTGAAGGGCATGAGCACGATGGTGCGCCATAGCTGGTGGGGAGATAGAGGGCAGGCAGGGGGGTGGTGGAGAGCAGGAAGGGATGAGCGGCCAATCAGTGCACGAGGGAGGGCAGCATCGAGTGTCCCGTCTCATGTAGGCACACGGAGATGAGCTTGAAGGGCATGAGCACAATGGTGCGCCATAGCTGGAGAGGGAAGGCAGGCAAAGGGGGGTAGAGAGGGCAGGCAGGGGGGTGGGGAGCAGGGGGGAATGAGCGGCCAGTCAGTGCACGAGTTATGGTAGCGTTGAGTGTCCCATCTTACACAGGTAACAAGAAGATGAGCTTGAAGGGCATGAGCAGGATGGTGCGCCATAGCTGGTGAGAGAGGGCAGGCAAAGGGGGTGAGGAGCAGGGAAGCATGTGCGGTCAGTCAGTGCGCGTGTCAGTGATGGCACGAGTGAGTGTCGGTCGGCGTGGACCTCCACGTGGCTGGGCGAACCAACCACGTGGAGGTCCTCTCAACAGTGAGGGTAACGTAGAGTGAGTGTCCCATCTAGCGTAAGTCCACTTCGGAGCTCCATGGGTATACGGCGGAGGGTGCGACATAGCTGGAGCGGGAAAAGGTAGCAGGAGGAGAAATCTGGGGAGTCGGGTTGGTGAGTGAGGGGGAGTTTGCGTGTCCCGTGCTTTGAGTCGACCCAAAACAGGGCGTCGTGTCCCGTGCTTTGAGCCGACCAAAACAGGGCGTCGTGTCCCGTGCTTTGAGCCGACCCAAAACAGGGCGTCGTGTCCCGTGCATGTCCTCAGAGGAGATCCAAGGCATCAGGCGGATGGTGCGCCATAGCTGGAGAGAGGGAAGGCGCGGAGGGGACAGGCGTGGAGGGTGGGGAGCAGGAAGGGATGCGCAGTCTGTCAGTGCGCGTGTCAGTCATGGCACGCGGGAGGGTGACGGAGAGTGAGTGTCAAATCTGGCGCATGTCTATCGAACGGCTCCGAGGCATCTGGCGGATGGTCAGCCATAGAACATAGACGTATAGAGGGAACATCCCTAAGGGAAGGCAGCAGGGGGGGGCTGAGGGGATGTGGTTGGCGAGTCTAGGGAACGTTCGCGACCAAATATCGGCGCAACTGCTTGTTACGTGGCGTGTCGAATGTGCTTACAGCGAGATCGCGTCAGTACATGCTGTGTGTTGCATTGCCAGAGTTGCTTAACAAAACAGTTAACGGCGTGCTTACAACGAGGATGATGAGCGCGTAGACACCGGAGCAGGAGAGGAAGAGGGTCTGCTGAGTGTTACAGCAACCTGCGAGCGCCCAATTCGCCATTCCGACGAATCGCTATGATCTAGTCGGACTGATCGAATGAATCCTTTATGACACGTGAAATGCCGATTAACTTAATTTCTTAAGCCGCTTTAGCTGAAACGCTTTCGTCCTTGGACGAATTTGTAGCGTGTACTAGCAGTGACAAGCGTTGATCTTCACATTCACGTTTCAATAAGCAAGAATACTTTAAACTCCCTATAATCAACGCTGGAGACTCGACGTATATCGCGTAATTTGGGTCCGTGGCGCCGTTCCGTCGTGTTTGACGTGTACTATCGCCGGAATGCTATCTCTGTTGACTTGATGGACACGCTGATTATTTATGTAGCGGGACCGCTACGACCGCAAGATGTGCTTGTACAGGTACCACCAGGGATTAGGCGTAATGCCGCTGTGGTTAGAAGAATGAGGCTGGGTAAAGAAACGCGACTCTGGCGAGCGGACGTTCCCGAAAAATAGTCTCTTCTGGAAATAACGCTAGCTTCAATGCTGGGAAGAGGAGCAGAAGGCTTTCATATGAAAGCCAAGAGATGTCAGGCGGAGATCTCGAGGCTGCTTTAGATCTTGTTTGAGAGTGATAAGATTCCGGACTCATTCAGCCGTTCCTTTTCCCTTAGACCAAGTAGAACCGTAGTGAAACACACGCCGCTCAAACTTTCTCATGTGGCATCTGCTGCTTTGAAAGAGCTCTGCTGACTGGCGCTGGCCATTTCAAATTATTGGTGTCCAGATGTCGTCTTGACAGTGGTCGCTGGCAGCAGTTGTCAGAGTACACGTGGATTAGGGCGCGTCAAGTTTGTGGACCTTCTGTTCAGCAAAAGTAAAAGGGCATTTATCTTAGCGGTAACACTCATTGGGGTCGATCGCACGCAAGGTAAGCCACGTGTCCGAATCGTAACTAAAGTATCTTCCGATTGCCTCCATGGTAACCAACGTGCCAGTTTGGTCAACATTATTTCCAGAATGGTAATGAACAGTGCATTCCGAAATCCCAACTGGTAACTCGTCAGAACATCCGCGATGTACACCGTACGTACCCTGTATGACTCGGCAAAACTGAAAATGAGATGGATATATGCTTCGCATTGTAACATATTTGTTATAATTTCACGTTTATAACTTGAACATGTGTAGATGATAGTAAAACAATAAATGCTATTATGTTTGTCAAATTGTTGTCTTGACTAGGGATTACGAAATTAAAATGGATCCTGAATACGGTGTCTACAGAAGTTATGTGCTAGTCTCTTATAAATATAACCAACATATATGCAAATCCAACCTGTTACCTTATGTAGTATCGTTTTTGACCTACGTCATGAAATGGGTCGTGTTGTCCGCGGCGTGAAACATTGTATAAATTTCTAACAGGCACCTGTGCTGCATGCACCAGAGATGGACCCCCCTATAATCACTACAACAAGCCCAAATTGCTTGAGATCATGGCAATCTGTTGTCCACGACGAATGTATAAGCTTAGCTCAACAGCGGGGCTACTCATGTTCTTGAACCTGTTCTTTGGAGAATTCAGTTACACCTTGTCCACCCGCAACACCCATCGCAGAATCACCACCGTCCGCAGGTTGTATGGTGTGGGTTGGCGCTCCATACGATGGCCATTGCTGATTCATGTATGACTGCATGGGCACAGTCCATGGGTACTGCCAGTACAGCCCTTCTCGAGGTGTGCCAACCCCTCTATGCATGCCATGGTCATTATTAGATGTGGCAATCCCTGGCTCCGGCATAGGGACTCTAACTCCCTGCCAATGCAAACCCATCTGCTGCAGCCAACCGCGCTGCTGAACCGCCCGATGTTGGTCTGCCTGCTGCGCCATGCCCTGCTGCGCCATGCCCTGCTGCCGCCCTGCATGTAGCTGCCGGGCATGCGGCTGCCCTGCCCGTTGCTGTCCCCCCTACTGCTGCCCTGCCTGCCACATCCAATATGCCTGCTGCTGCCATGCCTGCTGCTGCCCAGCATGCTGCTGCCCCACCTCCTGCTGCCCTGCTGGCTGCTGTCCTGCCTGCTGACCTGTCTGCTGTCCTGCCTGCTGACCTGTCTGCTGTCCTGCCTGCTGACCTGTCTGCTGTCCTGCCTGTTGCCCTGCCTGCTTCCCTGCCTGGTGCCCTGCCTGTTGCCCTGCCTGCTGCCCTGTCTGCTGCCCTGTCTGTTGCTGCCCCTGCCGCTGCCCACCTATCTGTTGCTGCCGTCTCTGCCGTTGCTTTCCCTGTTTTTGCCGTCTCGGCTGCTCTCCTTCTCCTTGAGTTTCACGTCGCCGGATTCTTTGAGACGGGCCCCCAGACGTACTTCTGTCAATAATTTCTGTTGCAGCTTCTTCCAAGTCTGGCACTTGTTGTTGCAGATTCAGGCGTGACAGCTTGCGCAAACGACTCCGGACAACAGCTGCGATACTTCTTGGGCCCGCCGTATTCACGGTCCCCTGTTGAGTACCCTGTTGCTGCACGCCTTGTTGGTGATCATGGCCCTGCCTGTTCGCCCGCAGCCCAACTGCATCCGCCGATGCTATGGTTTCCCCCCCTGCAACTGGCATTGCTCTAGATACAACCGATGGCACCCCTGCTCCTTGTGAAGCTGATGTCGACGCTAGGCCCTCTGATGCAGCTGCCTCCTCCCTGTGCTGCTGCCCCTGCTGCTGCCCCTGCTGCTGCTGCTGCTGCTGCTGCTGCTGCTGCTGGTGCTGCCCCTGCTGCTGCTGCTGCCCCTGCTGCTGCTGCTGCTGCTGCTGCTGCCCCTGCTGCTGCTGCTGCTGCTGCTGTCCCCCCTGCTGCTGCTGCTGCTGCTCCCCCTGCTGCTGCTGCTCCTCCCCCTGCTGCTGCTGCTGCTGCTGCTGCTGCTGCTGCTGCTGCTGCTGCTGCTGCTGTTGCTGCTGCTCCTCCTGCTGCTGCTGCTGCTGCTGCTGCTGCTGCTGCTGCTGCTGCTGCTGCTGCTGTTGCTGCTGCTCTTCCTCCTCCTGCTGCTGCTGCCCTTGCCCATGCCCGTGCCCCTGCCCTGCTTTCTGCTGCCTTCCCCTTCGCTGTTGCCTCTGCCCCCGCTGCCCCTTCGGCTGCCCCTTCTGCTTCCCCTTCTGCTTCCCCTTCTGCTTCCCCTGCCCCTGCTGCTGCTGCTGCTCCCCCCCTTGCTGTTGACTTCCACTTTGCTGCTGTGGCTGCCGCCTCCCTGCTCCCTCCTCCTCCTGCCAGTCGCTTCCTTCAGAATCTGATGTGAGGGAATACTCCGTATCCTCATCGCCCGCAACTCCTTGTTCTACTCTCCCAGCGGCACCCTCTTCCTCATCTCCATTCCGTCGTGCTCGAGCTTCCATCGTACGTACAGCTGAACAACGAATCCCTTCACGATGTAGCTCTCCACACGCGCTGCACTTTGACACGTTTACCTCACCCATCGCAATTGTGCATGTTTGCATATCAACATGAGCATGTGGTGAGTGCCTCTCTTCCCATGCTGCCCGTTGTGCCGCCCGCAACTCACATGTGCGCACATTATGACCTTTCTCACCACACTTCCCACACTTGCGCATCTTATCACCATCCACCTCACCAGAACTTCTGATACGTGTCTCACGTGGACGCCCTGGCCTCTTTGGGTACGAAGGTGGCTTGGTGGTGTTGTCTCGAAACGCCTCGGTAGGGTCGAGCGGGACAACAGGGGTACTGTATACATTTTTAAGAGCCTCCACTTTGTAGTAGCGGTCCACTACTTGATGAGCCTTCTCCGGTGTGGACCTGTAGACAGCATAAAGGTGTACACATGGGAGGCCGTACTCCCTACACAAAGGCGGGTTGTACAAGGGGACACACGGTAGAAGGGAGGATCATTTGAGAATGTTTCCAAGAAGTACTTTCACATAACATATGTTTGAACAAATGTTTAGTCACTGACGCATGACCTACCTTGGATACCCGCAGCTGCATGTGCTGGCCTCAGGGTGACTAGCGTATGTCGTGACGCGCCGTGTCTCCCGTCCAGTCGTGCGGGTCACCTTGAAGGTCTGCTCCACAACCCGTTCTCCAAACTTCTCTACCGCCGTCTCTCCTGTCTGGTCAGCCGTATACGACATTCCATACTTGGCGTTTTCGCGAATGATGTTCACAATTTTCTGTGGCAGCTGATCGTTAGCCATGGTCTCGAATGCCTCATGCTGCTTGAATGTTGACACCCCCTTCCTCCCAATCACTGCTAACAAAACCTGCGCCGGACTCTTTCTCCTCAAGCCCTTCAACATGGCATGACTGGACTCTACAGGGTTCGAGCTGTAGCAACCATAACGAGCAGCCCCAAATCTGGTGGTGGCCCATTTTCTAGACAGCTCATCTTTTGTCAAGTAGACAACCCCCCCGGGACACTCTTTCTCGATCTTCATTAGGTACTGTGCAAACACCTCTGCAGTCAAGGCACTAGCAGCATGCTCAATCTTGCCATCAAGGGTTGACCGGAACTTAGCATTGAAGTTCCGAACTATGTGAGTGACGCAAAAGGATTCCCTTGCGTTTGGAAAAACCTCACGCGTCGCAGCTGCCCATCCTCTCCCCCGATCATGCATGATAATAAAACCCTCAGTGTTAACTTCTTGCACGGCCTCCAGTAAGAGCTGGAAAATGAAAATGCATGCTTCTTTCGTCTCACCCTCAACCCATGCAATCCCAAGATGCACAAGCTTGTGCTCACAATCAAGAGCATAAAGGTTAAGTGTTTGTCCGCCCCACCTTGTCTTGTTATGACAGCCATCCGCAAACACTATTGGGAAACAGTTCAACAATGCAGTGCGAGCTCCGGGGAACACTAACCCAGCACGAAAAAACTTGTCCCCATCCTTCACCATGGACACTCGCGACGTAGGGTTCAGCTCCTTAAACATGGACAATAGCATCTCAAAATACTCAAATCCCTCGTCCCCCGACAAAACATCTTCCTTTTCAAGCTGAAGAAGTGCACGACGTGCTGTGTTGTATGAACATGATGAGAAGAATTGAACGAGAATGAAATGAGTATGAACGAAGTGAGTACAAATAGGAAACCCTAATTGTGTTGTACCCCCTATGGGATACCCCACTATAGCCTACAGAAACAAGTAAGCTATATGTTCTGACACACCCCCATAGGCAAAGTGGGGGAGAACAAGGGGTCACAAGACCATTCAAGCAAAGCAAAGCAAAGCTCAGGGTGGATCACAAAGTCACCACGCATTCCGAGCACAAGTTCAAAGGCCACAAGGCCAGTTCACATACAGGAGTATACATATATATATATAAGGCTAAACAAGCAAGAGCAGGTATACATATATGTAAGATCATATATAGAGGTATACAAGAGTCAAGCAAGCAAGAGCAAGAGTATATATATGCGAAGGTACAAGCAAGGTCAAGAGGAGAGCAAGTGAGGCAAGACAGGCACAAGACCCAACTGCGTGCAGCAACGCTGATGATCACAAGGCGCAAGTGCCTTGGTGAAGACATCAGCAGTGTTGGCCTCAGAGGCCACGTACGCAAGTCGCAGCTGTCCACGCTGCTGTAGCTCACGAGCAAGAAAGTAGCGAAGAGCAATGTGCTTTGTTCTGTGCTCCAGTCGCTGCTCTCGACACAAGGCCAGCATGGCCTTGTTGTCTACGTACAGGACTGGAGGAGAACGAGGCTGCTCTCCAAGGTCGGTCAGCAGGTAGGTGAGCCAGCGTAACTCCTGTGCAGCCATAGCCCCAGCGTAGATCTCAGCCTCACAACTGGAGCCGAGAACAGAAGACGAGCGGGTAGCCCGCCACGAGACAGAGCCGGAACCAAGGCTGAAGGTGTAACCCTGTGACGACCGCTGCGTAGCCTGGTCGTCAGCCCAAGAAGCGTCTGCGTGCCCAGTGAGGACCACTGGACTGCGCCCTCCAAGCACTAGCCCCATGCCCGACGTACTGCACAAGTAGCGCAACACCCTCTTCGCTGCAGCCATGTGCTCTGGTCGGTGTCTCCCAGGAGCAACAAAGCGTGCGAGAATGCTAAGAGGGTATGCGAGGTCAGGTCGTGTGCAGGTCATCAGGTACATGAGGCAGCCAACAAGCTCTGCAAACGGGCCACTCGACTCTACGGACTCATCCGAAGGCAGAGCTGAGAGCGAGTGGCGAGTAGGCAGAGGAGTGGCCTGAGGCGAGGAGTACGTGAAGCCGAAGTGCTGAAGGACCTGCTGCACCATGTGTGACTGAGTCAGGGTAATGGTGCGGCGTGCTCTGTCCCGGGTGATCTGCAAGCCGAGGTAGCTGCGCAGTTCACCCAGGTCAGTGCACGTGTGTCTCTTCTGCAGCTCGGACTTCACGTAGGCGAGTCCAGCAGTGTCAGCTGTGGCAAAGACCAAGTCGTCGACGTACACGAGGATGTAGAACGGCGGCAGAGAGGTGTCGGTGCGCAGAAACAGCGACGGGTCGGCAGTGGAAGGAGCAAACCCAAGTGCCGCAAGCGTAGTCCTCAGTGTGTCGTGCCGCTCACGTGGCGCCTGGCGGAGACCGTAGACTGGACGCCGGAGACTCCACTGGGTACCAGGAGGGAAAGACCAAGTGAAGCCAGGTGGGCGACGCAGCCAGATCTCCTCGTGCAGGCTGCCCTGCAAGAAAGCTGTGCTGAAGTCGAGAGAGTGCAGCTCGTAGTCACGGTGAGCAGCAACGTGCAGCAGAACCCGAAGAGTGGTCATCTTCGGGGTGGGGGAGAAGGTCTGAAAGTAGTCAACCCCCTGCCGCTGACTGAAGCCACGAGCCACGTAACGCGCCTTGAATACAGGCGGAGAACCCGGCGGCCGCTTCACCCTGAAAATCCACATGCCACTGACGATGTTCGCCCCAGGAGGGGGAACAGCGTCAACGTAGGTGCCTGTGGACTTCCAGGAAGCCATCTCTGCATCCATAGCTGCCTGCCACTGAGAGGAGTAGGGACCCTCTATCGCCTCCGCGTAAGAGCGCGGAGTCGGGATGTCTGGTGCATCCGGGTCTCCCTCAGGGGCTAGCAGTACAGACGCGAGACGAGGTGAAGCGGCGGCCAGACACTGGAACTCCTCCTGCCTGTCCTCAAGGACGTCCGTGCCAAGGGCACACTCACCCCCGACGGACGGAGGACAGGCGGACTCAGACGCAGTGACAAGACTAGCAGCGTAGTCTAGACGACAGCGCGCAGCAAAGTCGACAAGCTCAGTGACAAGGGCAGACACAGCAGACGACTCGAAGGAGGGGTCAGTGACAGCAGTAGCCAGGAGACGCGTGACAGTAGGACTGGCAGCACGAAGAGAGTCCGACTCCGGGTCGGCAAGAGCAGGAAGAGAGGAAGCAGGAGAAGAAGGCAAAGGGGCACGCAGAGGAGCAGTGGACGGACGCAGTGACATCCGGTGCGTGCCAGGGACAGGAGGAGGACGCTGACGCGACCCGCGACCACTAGCGCGCTCAGTACGAACAGGCGACACAGGACGAGACGCAGGCTCACGACGCTCAGTAAGACCTCCAGTCGGACCAGCGTAGGGAGAAGGAGCAGGCAAAGGGGAGGCAGGCTGTAGCTGTGGCTGTGACCGGACAGGCTGCGGACCCTCTAAGGGAGGAGGAGGAGGTGTAAGACCAAGAACCTGCTGCAGGAGCGGAACGAAGTACGGTCGGGGCCGCGCGTCAACGCTAGAAACAGCAGGAACAGCACCAGCAGCCCCGGCAGGAGCACCCACTCCAGCAGCACCTCCAGCAGCACCACCAGAAGCTCCAGAACCCCCAGCCGCAGCACCAGGAGCACTGTCAAACGGACCCCCAACGGCAGGCTCAGCGCCAACACCCTCTGCAGGACCAGCTCCAGGAGAACCCTCAGACCCAGCAGCTCCAGCACCCACAGTACGAGCACCGGCGGGACGCGCGGCAGCAGTACCCTCTGCAGCCGAAGAACCACCCGCACAAGCAGCACGCCTCCAGCGCCTGGCAAACCACTCACGCAGCTCCTGTGGGGAGAGTGGCTCCCGGCGAGACGAAGCACCCCCAGGCACAACACCTCCAGGCTCAGAACCCCTAGACACAGCACCCCCAGGCACAGCACCCCTAGGCTCAGCAACCTCAGGCAAAGCACCCCCAGGCGCAGTACCCCCAGGCTCAGCACCCCCAGGCACAGCACCTCCAGACTCGGCACCTCCAGGCTCAGCACCCCCAGGCACAGCACCCCCAGGCTCAGTACCCCCAGGCTCAGCACCCCCAGACTCGGCACCTCCAGGCTCAGCACCCCCAGACTCCGCACCCCCAGGCTCAGCTCCCGCAGCAGCACCAGAGTCACCAGTGACCTCGACAGGCTCGACCGCGTCTACCTGGGACACACCTGAAGGGGCAGGACCCTGAGGGGGGAGGGGGACTACCGGGGGGGGACCTGGTACCAAGAAGAGCGGGGGTGGGGGGAGGGACGGAGTGCGGTAGGGGAAGAGGCGGTAGTAGGGTACCGACTCGTCGAACGTGACGTCCTGGGAGGACAGAACACGTCGAGAGGTGGGGTGGTAGAACTGCCACCCAGGGGCGTCGGGGGGGAACCCCAGGAAGACGCAGGGAGAAGCACGAGGGGACAGCTTGTCCGCAGACAGGTCGCGAACAAACGCCCGAGATCCCCAGACCCGGAACGCCGACGCATCGCCAACCTTCCCCGTCCACAGCAGGGCTGGGGAGGTCTCCGGTCGAGAGACCCTGGGGTGGAGGTTGATCTGGTGCGCAGCGTAACTGACCGCAAACGGCCACAGAAAATGGGGAGCAGCCGCATGCATCATGGACGTACGAGCGACGTCCATGACCATGCCAATGCGGCGCTCAGCAATCCCATTCTGCTGTGGTGAGTCCGGAAGCGTGAAGGTCTGACGGATGCCTCGCGCACGACAGTAGGCACTCAGGAGGCCAGAGGAGAACTCTCCGCCTCTGTCCGAGTGCAGGCGTAAAACAGGGAAGTCAGAGCCAAAGCTCCTCCGAAGCTGGAGACGAGCTGCGCGGATCCAGTCGATCAACACCTCAGTGACCTCACCCTTGCTGCGCAAGGGGAAGACTGTGGTGTAACGCGAGTAGTCGTCAACCACCAGCAGGAAGTAGCGCTC